CACACACACACACACACACACACACACACACACACACACACACACTGTATTTTGGCCATATTCTATCCCCTTCCCGATCCCACCAACTCACTCCCTCCTATCAAATGGCCCCTTACACTTTAATGTCTTGGTTCGGGGACGCTTGTTGGTTGGCTGCATGAGCATGGGAGTGTATTTACTTGACCAAGGACAACGTCACAACGGCTACACCACTGAGGGGTGATTGATTGGCCCTCTCCCAGCAACCATTAACTTGCCTATGCTCCTCAGGGAGGGGTGGGTCCCTGTGAGCCCCTCCCCATTCGTGATGGGATGATACTGGACCCACAGAGTGTGGCTTTCTACACGAGACCTGTCCATCTTGGCATGCCTGGTTTCTCTAAGCGCTCCCCTCCTAAGGCTCAGTGTGCACCTTGAGTTCTATGTGCATGAGTGTGCACAAGGCTTCATGATCTGTGTCAGGGAGAAGCGTCTATTCGACACCATGGTTATCTAAGCTTGGGTTCTGACATGCACAACCAGCCAGCCCAGACAGGATCCTAGGGGCCTGGATGCTGCTGGGAAGGAAGTGTAGGAGAACCCACACGAGCAGGGCACCCTATTCCACACCTGCCTGTTCATGCCAGGACTGCTCGGGCTGTCGCTAGAGGAACCCTCGGCCCAGCAAGCCGGAGAACTGTGAGGATAGAGCACAGGGACAGGGCAACGGGACAACGGATGGGCTCAGTGTGTGCAAGAGGCCTGGTTAAGAGAGCCATCCATGACAGCTAGCCTTTTCCCGCCCTCAGTGCTCCTTCAGTGAGGGGGGCGGAACTGGGGGGTCTTTCTGAAGCCCGATATGTCAGGCAAAGCATCCTCAGCCTCCAAAGGCACCAAAGCTCACCCCTGGCCTAGCAACCATGGAACACAGGGGGCTGCTTTAGCTGATGGTGGCTGGGAGGCCTCTGTCCAGGACAGACCGAAACCAAGTTTCCCCCACCCTGTTCCTCTGCCTTGTTACCCAGAGCCCTGATGGGAAGGCTGTCCTGAGGCTCCCAGACTGCTCAGGATGGGCACGGGAAGCTGGTGAAGCCCGCCCCCTCCCCATGCATCTCTCCTAACTGAACTCCGGAGCTCTAGCTCATGAAGTTGGGGCTGGATTGGTGACTTTCGAGTTCTCACTAGCTTTCTATCCTGGAGTGTACAAGGGAGAGGAAGCCCCCCGCCCCCCAGTAGCCCTTTCCCAGGGAACCAAAGCTTCCAGGCCTTCACTGCTTAGGTTGGTTAGCAATTACCCAAGAAGCCACAGGCCCTCTCTTTAAAACTGCATTCAGCTCAGGCTGTGTAGCCCCCCGCAAGATGCCACCAGAGTGTTCCCCGGCCTAGAGACGGAGTCACACAGGCCAGTGTTTGAGCTGATGGAAGGGGCCTTGCCATGCCCAACAGGAGCCCAAGACAGGCAGGGACCAAATGTTTCCTTCCTCAACATCTGGGCCAGAGGCATCACACTTTCCAATCCCAGGGGTTCAGTGGGTTTCTCCTGGGAAAGAGAGAGTGAGGCCCCAACACCAGTCCCACAGCTTCAACCTGAGGCCTGTTAGCTCCGGCAGGCCTTAGCTGTTCCCCACCCAAAGCCTCCGCGTCAAATAAGAGAGGTGGCTGGGACCCCATCGTATACGGTGTGTTCCCGAGGCTCCCCTAGAGTCGAGTGGCCTCCTCACAGCATGCCGAGGAAAACAGAACAGATTGTAGGGAGAAAGGGAGGTGTGGGCACCAAGAGGAAAGTTCTAGATCTGCTGCAGCTCCTAAATCAGATCCAGCTGGAATTGGAGGTAACTGCATTATAGGCAAGATTGAAAGGTTAATATGAAGCCAGCTGATACCGAAAGAGAACAATTAGGAAGGTTAAGGGGCTTAATATTAGATTAATGGCTGCTGAGGATAAAGTTCACAGCTTCCGGGAAAGAAGTCTGACTCAGAAATCATTTTAGTTGATGGCTCTGGGTCTGGTCTCTCGTCCTGGTAACCAAAGGGAAAAATACCACTTCTTCATGTACAATTCATGTTCCCTCCTGCTCTTCCTCTACGGCTTGGGAATGTCTGCTTTCCTTCAGGTTTTGGACAGGGGATCCTACCCCATACTGGGTTCCCTTGGAGGGGTCCCCCCTCAGTGTGGTCTGTGATGTGGTAAATGTGTTCTTGGGATAGATGAGAAAACAAATGGTTTCTCACATCAATAGCTCAGCCCAGGAGAGATCTGGGAGTTAACTTGAACATAGGGGAGCAGGTTGGGCAGCCGAGGAGACAGGGAGAGATAAGGAAGTCCCATAGATCCCAAACCTAGCAGCTCCTTAATTTTCCCTGTGAGATTTCTCACATGCAGATTCCTAGGCCGCACCCTGGCCAACTGAGTCAGAATCTAGCAAGGATCAGCATGGGGGGTGGTGTGCATACCCTCAAGCTCTTTGGATGACATCATGGCCAGCTTGGTTTGGAGGACCATGGGCTCAGAGCCACAGAGAAGAAGTGTAAGGCCAGAAGGACCAGGGATGCCTCAGATATGGGACTTGGCCATTTATGTGAGTTCCTAGTTTCTCCCAGCAAGTGAGTTTCCCTGATCTCAGTGACGCTGTAATCCCCACACAGGGCGCCACACGCAGTTTGTGGGAGCAGAGCTAATTTTCAAAATCCCTCTCCTCCTCAGACCCTGAAACCTATCCAGTTTTCAGAGGCCTGGCTAATGGAGGCCAGGCCTGCTCCTCCGAATGAGCCAGCCCAGACTGATCCAAGAAGCAGGATTATACAAATGGGAACCTGGAGCTGAATGGGCCCTTAGAGACACCCCAGCCTGTTCATTTTGAACTGTATTTCTAGGTGCCCTAGGGTTCCACATGAACTCTCAAAGACCGTGGATGGAAAGGAGAGGGCAGAGACTCAGTGGGAGGGCTGCTGGCTCCCTCGGCCTCCGTTTCCACGCCTTTGGATGTTGCTATGGTGACCGCCTCTTAAACCATTTCCCAGATGCTGCCATTGCCATCCCAACCCCAGACTCCAGCTTCTTTCCATCCAGGGTCCAGAATGGCTACTTTAAAACCCGGGGCCAGTCCCATCGCTCTTCTGTCCCAGGCCTGGTGCTGGCTTTCCATTTCCCCCAGTGGCAATCCCAGGTCGTCACTGTGGCCTGTTTGTCCCCACATGTTCTCTCTCACCCGCCTTGCCTTCAGCCACGCAGGCCTCTTTCAGACTCATCCGCAGCAAGCTGGCTCCTACCCATCTCCCGGGCACTTCCTCTTCCTTCTGTCTGAAGCACTTGCCTCACATTTTCTATCGCTGAGCTAAGTCCCAGGCTGGCCTTGAACTCACTCTGTAGCTCAAAACAGACAAGCTTTGAACTTGTAACCTTCTTGACTCAGCTTCTCAAGGAGCTGAGATTATAAACCCATGGTACCAGGCACAGCTCTTCCTTGGTTTTTCTACAGCCTTTTAGACACAAAACCCACTCCAGGCTCACATGCGTTTCCAAAGCAGGCAGTGGGGGCTGGTTAAACAAAGCCCCTAGGCCAAGCATAACTCACTGCCCATTTTAATAAAGTGGAGTTTTATTGAAACACAGCCATACTAATCTGTTTATGTATTGTCAGATTATTCACTGCCTGGCCCTTTATAGGCAAAAATGTCTGCCAAGTCCTGCTTGAAGTAATAATGTGACTAACTCAATATATTCTATTTTAAAGGTGTTTCCCATTTGTGCTGGCTAGTTTTATGTCAATTTGACACAAGCTAGAGTTATCGGAGCAGACGGAGCTTCCACGGAGAAAATGCCTCCATAAGGTCGGGCTGTAGTCAAGCCTGTGGGGCTTTTTCTTCATTAGTGATTAATAGAGGATGTTAACAGCCCATTGTTGGGTGTTGGTCCTGGGTTCTAGAAAACAAGCTGAGCAAGTCATGGGGAACAAGCCAGTAAGCAGCACCCCTCCATGGCTCTGCATCAGCTCCTGCCTCCAGGGTCCTGCCCTGTTTGAGTTCCTGTCCCAACTTCCTTCAGTGATGAACAGTGATGTGGAAGTGTAAGCTGAATTAAACCTGTTCCTCCCAAGTTGCTTTTGGTCATGGTGTTTCACCGCAGCAATACTGACCCTGACTAAGACACCATTCTGCTCCATTAATGTTGGAAATCATTTGGAAATTGGTACCAACTCTTCTACGGATGCGGGAGCTGAGGCCCAGGAAGGCGATGGCTTCCCAAGGGTACACGGCCAGCAAGTGGCAAACCCAGATGTCAGCACTCCGAAGAGGGCTGTGTGAACGGTGGCAGCTGCAGCTGGAACCTGAATGTGCTTCTTGCTGGGCCCAGCAGCAGGGCAGCAGCAGGTCTCACTGTTCAATATGAGCGAACTAGCCCAGGAAGCTTTCTGTGCACAGGAAAGAAGGCTGGCTAAAAAGTCCACTAAAAGCCAAGTTCGGCTTCTGTAAATCTGTAACAGACTGTCACATGACTGTGACCAAGCTGCAGCAGCCTTCCCACCCGGGCGTGGACCGGCCTTTCTCAGCTTGCCAAGGGCTGCCTTTTGCTCTAGAACCTGAACTGCTACCACATCACTTGTGTGAGAGGGCCCTCTAGTGTACAGATGTGGTATTGCCTCCCTTACCATAGGCTCTGCAAACAGACGGGACACTAATTTCCTAAACTAGGGGTTGTGAGGGGTAGTTTTTATAGGGCTATCATTGCCTTTGAGGGACTGCC